GCCACCAATGCCACAGACTGCCTCCTCTTCTTCGGTCGTGCAGCTGACGGCCTGGACGACGACCACTGGCTCACAGACCTCGATGGGGACACCACAGGCGGTCGAAGCCCAGCCCCAGACATATCCTGTGAGCACTGTGGTGCCTATGGGAATGTCTTCGGCTACCAATGCGGAGCAGGGAGACTCAGCTCATGCTCAAGGCAGGAATCTCTACCTGCCTCACGTTTTGGACGAGATGGACTAAAGGCTTTTCCATTGGCCTGTAGTTATAGTTGGAAAGGAGCCATAATATATGGTGCGACAAGGTCGCCGGGCGCTCGCCTGTCCTCGCAGTGTATCGACCCCGGATCCGATACGGCGTTCGAGTGAGTACTACTACTCCTACCACTACTATTGCTGCTGCTGCTACTACTACTACTACTACTACTACAACAACTACTACTACTACTACTACTACTACTATTCCTACCACTACTAATGCTGCTGCTGCTACTACTACTACTACAACTACTACAACTACAACTACAACTACTACTACTACTACTACTACTACTACTACTACTACTACTACTACTACTACTACTACTACTGCTACTGCTACCACTACTACGACTGCTGCTACTACTACTACTACTACTACTACTACTACTACTACCACTACTACCACTACTAGTACTACAACTACCACCATGCTTCTATTGGGTTAATAAGTATGCTTACTCTCCCTAAACCGGGTTTTGATCAAGGTTCGAACAAAGTCTCTCCACTACTAAGTCAGCGGCTACCAAAGATCCATCGAACTCCCGCCGTACAAGCAACCCGATAAGTTAGAAGCATAGGGCAGATTAAGGCCTCAGTTCAAGTACCAAGATGTCCGGCGCTTCCTAGTTTCGGGTGTATGTATATCAAGGTTCGGAGATTCTGGCCTATGGGCTGCAGGGACTGAGGTCAGGTATGTCTGAAATATCTGCGATTGCCGAGGCGTCTCCGCCACCAGCATTGGTAGAGGTGGGCTTCCCATCGACACTATCACAACCACCATTGCTATAGTAACAACAGCAACAACAACAACACTAGCAGTTTTTGACAGTCTTAATTATGAAACATATTGCTAGTAGTGGCAAAATTTCTGAGCGCTGCTTAAAAAGACTCAAAAGACAAAGCTTGGTGGACCGAGGACCCTGCATCTTTTGGCAAAGGCACTGCGGGCAGCATGACTCTGCATCGCATCCTGGGTGGCCTGCGTGAGTGTTAATAACTACGGAAGAACCTGCCAATTCGGGTTCAGCTGCTAGGGCTTAGAATCTACTGGCAGATTTGCTTCTAAACGCTTAACAAGGAATTCGTCACCGACATAAATGGAGATGGACAGACTGATGGCCTGCTTGTACTGCGGACTCCGTGTGCGACAACAGGCGAGTCGACTAGAAGAAAAGCCAGACCGGATCGTTCGGACGGTCTTCGGGATTTCTTCAGGTACACAAAGATATCACTACCCCTTATAAATCCCAAACCCCAAACCGCTTGTTCTACTTCCCAGAAAAGGAAGTAGAAAGATGTAGAAAGAACCCCGGATGACTGAGAGCCCTGTCTGGGGCTGCTCTTCGCTCTTCGCTGTGCTTTGCGTCTCTTGAATATGCTGTAGCAATGAATCTGCTATTGCCGTAACATGGATATGCGAGTGTAGTACTATGAACATGCTGTATAGATATGCCATTTGACTAAACCCACAAACCAAGAACTGCTTTCCTGTACTTTCATGCACATGACGCCGAATGGAACCTAGCAGTTGAGAGCGAGTGCACCGGCTCAGGAAGTCCCTAACCCTGAGGGTCCATGTACCCAAATAGCATATACATTGGCCTTAAAGTAATCCCTATATAGGTACTTTGGGGCCAAAGTATATACTATTTGGGTACATGGACCCTCTGGGTAATATGATTTACTGTAAGGGGATTTGGAGGCTCTGGGAAGTTCTAAAGTGCCAAACCCCCCTTTGGTAGGGGTTTGGGGTTTAGGGTTTAGGGTGTAGGGTGCGATTCAGACAGTCAGGTTTGTAACAGTTCTAACACGACGAGCTTTTATTAAGTGGTGACCTTCTACTAATAACTCCAAGAAGTACGGCTATCTCCGCAGTGACCCCCAAAATAGCCATACCATAGGGGCCTAGTCATCGTTGCCTGCACATACTATTCCGGGGCTTCTGTCTTCTAATTATAGTATAACAGACTCCCAAACCCTATTGAAGCTATTCAGGCCCCTATATCATAGAACCCTCATAATATCCCTTATAGCCTTTAAAAAAGGAACCCTAGTCTACTTCTGAAGGCCCCTGGAGTACCTGCCATATGGGAGTTTCCGAAAATAGGGGACCCTAATATAGCACCCTAAATAGTAGGATCCTCATTGTAAGGACCCCAAAATAAGGTACCCCCCCCCCACTTTTCGGAAACTCCCTAAACCCTCAACCCTCTATAGAACCCTTATAGATCCCTTTAAGGAACCCCTAAAGGATCCCTTTAAAGGTACCCCTAATTTTCTGAAACTCCCATATGGAACCCTATAAGGAGCCCTTAGAGGTCGAAACTCTCGGGCCCCGAGCCCTGAGAAGACGCGTCTCCCGCCAATCCTCGAGTGCCTGGGTCTATGGTGAGATGCCCACTGTTTCTGGAGACTATAGGTATATTCTAGTATATATAGTAGTTGCAAGGCCTCTTACAGGGAACTCCAGAAAGTTGGAATATGGTTTCATGGTAGGATACCCTGTAATTTACCATAGAAGGGTTAGGATAATCATATTCCAACTTTCTACCTATAGGCCCCAAAGTAGTTCCTTTTTGGGGAATACCATTATGGGATCCTTCATATATATATTCGGCTCTCTGGGTACCTGGATAGGCAGAGGCCCCAAAGTAGTTCCTTTTTGGGAATACCTTATAGGATTCTATATATGAACCCCAAAAAGGAACTACTTTGGGGCCTGAGGGTATGGTTGAGATGCCACGGTTTAGGGCTTAGGGGCTTTAGGGTTTCGGGCTTTAGGGTTTAGGGTGTAGTATAGGGGCATTATTAACTAGAATAGGGCTTTGGGGGTAAATTATACAAGAGTTACAATAAGGAACCCCCACAATAATATATTTAGGGCCCTATTGTAGGGTTTAGCGCTTAGCTCACGGCTTCTATCAGGGTTTAGTATCGGGGCTAAGATTTGGGGCTATCGCGCTAAAGGCTCCTGTCAGCTGAGGTTTTGCAAGGTTACCTCGAGGTTTGGGGTGTACTTGGAGGTTCATGGGTCGTTATAAATAGGGCTACAAGTCCCCTAATAGGAGTTCTAACTACAGTTACCCTACTTAAAAACCCGACTTATAACTACCCATGAACCTCCAAGTAGAGATTTGAAGGCCTATCCAAGGCTGCAAGCTTCCATATGCCACAACATTTTGGGGACCTGAAAAGGACCCAAATTTAGAGAACTACCCAGCTGGTGCCTGTGCCCTTTATGGCCGCAAGGTTCCATGCTGGCACTACAAGAACTCTACCTATAGTCTCCATTGTAGTTCCTTTTTTTGGTTAACCAAAATCTCTATTATAGGATCCTAACCATAAAACTGGTTAACCAAAAAAGGAACTACAATGGAGACTATAGGTAAACCCTAAACGGGACGACCATGATAAAACGTAAGATGCTGCTCAGAGCCTCCAGACAACTGGTCTTGGAAATTGCCCAGAACAGATCCTACAGAGAGGTGAATAATCGAAATTAGAGTCTATAGCATGATAAACGAACTATCCATCCAATACGGTACATAAATTAAAGTCTATATAGTGTGATCTACGATCTATCCATCCTATTTGGTACTTTGCTATACTGACAAGGGAGCTTGCAGTAGCGGAAAGTGTGATCCTTCTGCCTAAACCCCAAACAAAGAGCAGGTGCGGCTTCGGGTAGAGTTCCAGGCTTTAGCTAGTGTTCACCTTAACCCCAAGGAACCTACCTTTTTAAGGGCTTATATAAAGAAATCATATTAGGGAACCCTAAAAAGGCAGGTTCCTTAGGGTCCAGGTAGGGTTTAGGGAGGAGGTTTCAGGGCTCATGGGTCGCGACTGAGGAATGCAGTTGCTAGTCACCCTATATAATGCCGTCTGCTGATGAACGCCGGCCGCCCCAAAACTCAAAGCATCGTTCGTCAGCATCCCCCATTGGGTGTGCGAAGCAGCAATGAACTCTGCTGTGGCGATTTCCTCATAAATGGAACAAGAAGCTTCGAAACAGTGAACTCACTGTCTTCAGATTTTGAAGCCTGGAGGATAGGACTGCCCACAATGTGAATTGCCAATGTTCAAAGGGAGTTTATCATCTGGTGCCTACAGTACAGTATACTTGACTTTGAAGTCACCCGATGCTTGGGCTTGCTGCATGAGACCGGGCTTGTCTGAAACACTAGAAGCATAACTTTGCTCCGGGGATGTATCATTTCAGGAGATGCCCATTTAGCCGCGTGCGGCACGCGACCCTAAACCCCCAAACCTTGGCCAAACACTGTGATCCTTTTCGACGGGTGGTGACACCGCTTAAGGTCTTTAGTCTGCTAGGACGGAATGTCTCCAGCCCCTAATCGCCAAACGCGAAGAAGGGTAAACTGGGGGACGGAAAGTGAGGCGGGCGGGAAGAAAGCCTTCGCTTTGGAACCGCCGTGGCTGAGACATTGAAGTCAGATCTAACATCCTCAGACTTCTCAGCGATCATACAAAGACAGCGGATGTTCTAACATTAAGAACGTAATGCTATGCCATGTCATAACTGTGATAGATTTGCAAGCAACTGCATGCACGCACGATTGCATAACTTCTCTTGTTGTGTGTGCGACCTTATTTTCGGTCTATCTATATTTTTTAGCAGTCGCCTGACTTGGTCGAGTGTCTATCTATATGAACAGTTGCATGTGTGTCGAGTGTGAGTGTAAAGTGGTTGTAGTGTTCAATACCGGGATACATGTCAGCTAATCTTGAGGCCGGCAGGACAGCACGGCTTCGGCGAAGACTTGGATGGCCTCGTTCATGAAATCCCACCCTTTCTTCCAAGGTTGCAGGCCCCACGGCCAACCCACATGACCTCGGGCTCAAGGGAAACGACTCAGTTCCTTCGTGTGAACTTTGTCAGACAGGAATTTTGAGGGGATCCCTATATACTAAACCCAAAGGATCCCGAATACACTGCACCCCCCACCTCCTTTTTCTGTGATTAGGAACAGAAGGTTCTCGTTCTCGGCGAAAAATTCCTTGGCCCGAAGGCTGTCGCAGTGCGTGATCGGATCATCGCGAGCAGCCACGGAGAGGAGAGGGATACTTACCTTCCGCCACTTGTCGTCAAATGCAACACTGAGATCCCGATAGTAGTCCAAGACTCCGTCGTAACCATTGTATATCGAAACGAAGTCCTTGTCCACGTCTACCACACTGGCAACTTTGCTTGAGAGGACCTTGCCTATGTCGACCCCTCGCCGCTTGGCCTCCTCTATGTGTCCTTCAACAATAGTTTGCCTGGGATCTTGTTACGGAATTTAGTTCAGGCTACCATAATAAGGAAACCCTGCTTATTCCGACTGATCCCTATCATCGAAACTTAATTTACAGTAACAAGAACCTAGTTGCTTCAGACTGTACGCAAGCGCAGCTTGCCAGGTATCCGCGGAGTACTCAAAACTCATGTTCTTCACCTGTGCTGAACTTAGACCCCAAGCGAAAACTCGTAGTTTAGCTGGTTGCTCAGGATTAATCAGAATACCCAAAGATTAAAAAGTGGATTACAATGACCAAAGACTAACTAACCAGTGGTTTTGGGGTTCCCTTGGCTCTTTAGCTCCTTATTCAACAGGGATCATCATCATCCCTGGCTCCTTAGCTCCTCCAATATCAAAGATTAGCTAAAAAAATGCTAAGTACCCCTAATTTGAATAACCAAAGATTAAAAAAAGTGGATTATAATGACCAAAGACTAAAACAATGCTTCTAAGTACCCCGAAGTCACGGCATCGTTCAAGCCCGAAAAGCTGATAGCGCCCTCCAGGAGCCTCGGCTCTTGTTTAGGAGTTTGATTTAAGTTACCATAGTAACGAATACCTAGAGTTCCTTTAAGGGACGACCTATAGGCTTTAGGGCTCTTGCTAAGGGATTTAGTCTTAGTTACCATAAGAAGGAAAGCATATTATTTACTGTAGATCCCTTTTATTTTAGTTTAAAGAGAGTTCCTTAACAAGAACCCAGAAGCGGATCCGGGCCATAGTGGCCACAGTAGTTTGCAAGGATGATGGCACCCATAGAGTAGCCAGATGCGAATACTGCCGCTTTCGGGATGCCTGGCGCCGAAACTGCCTTGAGGCATTTGTCCAGATGTTCTAGGAGTTTTCGGAGGTCCGTGACACGAGCCCCGTGAAAAAGGTTAGCGTTGACCTGGGTATCCATAGTTCCTCTTGCGACCTTAATCACCACGGTCATGTTCGCACAGCGGGATAAATGTCCTGCTGCATCGGCGATGAAACCAGCTGCTTCAGTCCAGTGTTTCGAGGGTGCGAGCCCAGTCAGGAGCACAACGACAGGGCGACTTGGGTCAAAGCCTCCAGGAGGGAAAACGAAATCGCTGGCGAAGCTTTCTCCGTCGTCTGCAGATAGCCAGATCCGCTCGTACTTCAACTCCCCGAACCTCTTGCGATTTATCATGTAAGGCGCGATGGTGCACAGCTCTCCGGAACGTTGCCAAGGGCATGGAACAAAACTGTTCATCCAATTTTGCATTGATTGACAGATTTTCTGATTGCGTGCTGCAAGTCTTCCTTCCAGATCGGCGTAGAAGCCGGCCTCCGTTTCCACCTCAAGAAACCTCAGCTGTGCAGGTTATACACCCCCGCAAAACCACAAACTTTCATTTCCCGAGATCCAGCCCAATACCTTAAACTCTCAAGCCCACGCAAACCACAAACAAATCCGAGCCCCTGAAACCGAAAGCATGCAAGTTGAAGCAGTGAGAAACGGAGTGCCGCCGGGTAGGCCCCTACAGCCTGCCATCAAAAGGACCAGGCCGATAAATGATGGCCAGCGGGCTGCTGTGAGCCCACCTTTAGCACAGTCCGTGTAATCATAGCTAAGCGTAAGAACAGGGCTAAGAAGTAGGATGATGATAATAAGATTAACAAAATAATAATGTAATACCAATAAGAACAATCGTAATGATACTTAGTACTATACGGACAGCGCAGCATGAGATTTCAGTCTCGTGTTGTGGTTATCATGCTGGTGTACGGTATAAGCTGTACTTTTTTGTGGATTGAGCAGAGCGTGCTCGCCGTCATCGTGGGGTAAACTGTAAGCTTTGAACACAAGTAGCTTACCGGTCAAGCCCAGTAGACTATAGACACTATCCACCCTGCCTGCTGTAAGAAGAAGAGACCCAAGCCCAATCGCACAGCTGTTCCGAACCAGCATTGAACGCGAAAGAGCACCAAGCACCGGCAGAAAGGAATCCAAACTTCGTCTCCATGTCAACAGCTCCGGTGGCAAGGCCTCTTTTGTGGGGACTGACACCTGCGGTTTACCATCGCTGGACTGCCGCAGATGCTCCAGAAACTTCTGGTGAACTTGGGGCAGCATGTCGGAAAAATGAAGCCGCCCCCTCAAACTAACACTGGGCTGGAGCCAACTGCAGACATCTGTAATCTGGTGCGGGCCTTGTTTGTGGCTGATTTCATGTGCTTCTCCCCTTCCAGTGCTCGGTTGGAGGGACCCTCCCCAACATTCTACGACGGCCCAAATCGTTATGGCGTGATACAAAAGCCCAAGTATAAGTGCCAAGTTGAAATGTTGGGCTTCCTCACCTGCCTGACCTAGTAAAGAAGCCGCGATAAATGTTCAATAGCGGCTTCCCGAGAAGACCCCGTCAAATCCGAACCGACGACTCCGACGACAGGCATGACGACTCTGCAGCAAAAAGCCGCCGAACACCTCTAAACCGTATACCGTAAACCCTCTACCCTAAACCCCAAACTGCCCCTAAACCCTAACCCTAACCCCTCTACCCTAAACAAACCCCAAACTGTCCCTAAACCCTAACCCTAGACCCTCTACCCTAAACAAACCCCAAACTGTCCCTAAACCCTAACCCTAAACCCTCTACCCTAAACAAACCCAGAACTGTCCCTAAAACCCAACCCTTATAAACCCTCTACCCTAAACAACCCCCAAACTGTCCCTAAACCCGAAACACGGAATGAGAGCCCCGCCTCATCCAGTTCAGAGCGAGACCGAGTCGCCAGCTCCATACCGTTCCTACAATGGAGACTATAGGTATATTCTAGTATATATGGTAGTTCCCTTTGGGGGTTCATATATAGAATCCTATAAGGTATTCCCAAAAAGGAACTACAATGGAGACTATACTAGACCCACCTTGCTTCTAGACCCAAGAGTAACCTAGGGGGATTAGGGGTCCTTTAAAGGGTACTATAAGAGTTCCTTTAAGGGATCTATAGGGGTTTAGGGTTTAGGGACCCAAGAGTAACCTAGGAAGAAAAAGGGTGCCCTTTTTGGTTTAAAGGGGCTTATAAGGGAACCTGAACCCTAAAAAAAGGGAATAAGGGCCAACGGCTTAAGGGCTACCTACTCTACAACCGGTACTACCGTTCGGGTTCAGGGTGGGACGGGTAGCCTCAGCGACACTTCATCTGCCAATTTCTATCTCTCTCTCTCTCTCTCTCTCTCTCTCTTTCTCTCTCTCTGTCTCTCTCTCCCTCTCTCTCTCTATGTGTATGTATTTTCTAAAGAACTTTCGACTAATCAAGTCCTTGCGGCCCAAAGTATTTGCTAGTTGAATGGGCTGGGTTTAAGTGTTATCTTTATTTCTTCGGAGTGGTTCAATGACAGCTTCCAGGCCTGATAAGCCTCCTAACCTGAGCCCTAAACCCTCCTTCTTATACGAGGCTCAAACATTTGAACAGCATTTCTTTAAGGGGGGAAACTTATCCTATGACTACATAGAAACCGAACAAGGGAATGCCAGTCGCAATTCTTCCCATCCCCTCCAAAATCAAGCGTCCCAAGCTCCCGACCCAAGCTTCAGCCGCGTTTTGAAGTAGAATTTCCCATGGCGCCCATGGCCTGGGTATTTTGACGGGCCCCGAAGATAGGGGCCTTAATAATTAGCTGTATTATCTTGGCGGTTCATTATGATGATATTTATAGTATTTTAGATGGGGGCGAGTAGGGTCACGGTTGAGGGTCAAGTCTTCACAAACCGCTGTACTCTACACAGCCGCGCACACCGTGAGAAGTACAGACATATGGGTGGCTGTCAATACTATGGTCCCTTTCTGGGTCCCTAATTTAGACGGCATCTAATATCTAGGGTACCCAAAAAGAGACCTAATTTTGACAACCACCCATATGTCAGGTTGTAAACCTGTTCCACCTTTAAGAGGGCTTTCGTGTGGGCCTGCGGCCTACGAGCTCTAGGAAAAATTACGTGCGTCGTTCTGATGAAATCAATGGCGTGTTGAAGATTGTTTGTTTCATACACACCGGCAGCTGGTAGATGCTCAAGAAAATCCTTCATGACTGTTCAGCTGCATCGTCGTCCGGCACTAGTCATCAAATTCTATCCTGGTCGGCGAAAACAGTTTCGACGGTCCCCATTTCCACCAACAGTACAGTGTAGCCTGGCAGAAATGCAGAGCCTAAACCCTAAACTTCGCAACGAGCACAGATTCCAGTGGACACCTGGTAGAACTAACGTTCAACCTTTAGGATCATTCATGGATTCTCTTACCCCGCAAAGGTTTAGGGTTTAGGGTGTTCAAGGTCACTTAGTTTCTACTACTGAAGAAACGAGCTCCATCCCACCAGGACCCGGGCAGGAGAGGCTCTTCAGGGACTCGCGGATGGCCAGTCGCAGCTGTTCCGGCGACGCTGAGTCCTGCGAAAAGCGCGGGCTTAAGGCTCAAGGGCCGTTGGGTTTTGTTTAGGCTCACCCTAAGGGTCCATGTATCCAAATAGTATATACTATATACTTTGCGCCCAATGTATCTATATAGGGAGTACTTTAAGGCCAAAGTATATACTATTTGGGTACATGGACCCTTAGGGTCAGTTGAAGGTCTCAAGGGTTCTGCAGGGTTTCAAGAGGCCTTATATCGAGCATTTATAGGGAGTCGTGAGATCAGTCCTAAATCCCGAAGCCCCTTGGACCCTGAAACCCGTAAACCCTAGTCCTAGAAGCGGGTGGGATCAATCGGCTTCCGAAAGCTTGCAAACGGTGTTTGCAAAGTCTGGCAAGGCTTTATTGGCAGAAGGGGGCGCTGTCGGGTGCCTGTGTTTTTTTCTACGGCGCCGGGACCCTTTAGAAATTAGGGCTTGAGGAATGCTTTTAGTTTAGGTGGCTTGGCCGGCTCCATGTCTGTATGTATGTATGTATGTATGTATGTATGTATATATATATATATATATATAGATTGTAGGGTTGGGGTCTAGGGCTTCAAGCAAACATTGTTGTAAATTTTGCAAACCATCGGCCTTTGCAAAGTAACTAAGGGAGCCTTGCCGAGCTGCTACGCTTCCGTATCTCACCCCCTAGTTCAAACAGCAGCCCTTCGTCGGGCGTCCTGGTCACCAATGGACATCTGGCACGCACCCCGCATGGCGAGCAACATGCCCAGCCTCATCACCGCAAGCTTTCAGCACGCACGCGCACACACACCCTAATAATTAGTATGCTATTCTGGGGGCTCCTATAAATATAATATAGTAGAAAGAATGTGCACCAAAATACCGCAAACGGTTCCTCATTATAAGTATGGTATGATATACCCGGAAACCACTTTCTTTCGTCTGCTTCTCCTCTGTGAAGACATCACCGCTCCGGGCAATGAAAACCTTATCAGTCTAAACTCCACTTGGAGGCCCTTTTGACTTAGTAAGTAGGGTTAGTAAGGTGGGTTATGGGGCTTATAATAGGGCTTATGGGGGATACTAAGTAGACTTACTAAGTCAAAAGGGCCTCCAAGCAAAACCTAGCCCCCGTTGCACACATGGCTCGGAGCTTGCTATTTCCAACTCATTTCAACACCACAGGCTCCTTTAAAGTGTATTTATAATAAGGAAGCCAAAGGAATTCTGATTTAGGATTTCAGGGTTTGGGCTCAGAATTTAGGGAGCCTAGGGCAGTTTAGAGTTAGGGTTTGGGGATAGTAATCGCTTGTTTCGGCTTCTATAGTACAGTGTTGGGGCGGGGGTTTCACTGACCAGCCTTGCCACACCCCAAAACTGCAAGGCCCAACTGCAAGCCCTTCAAGGCCTTCTAGGCATACCTATGGCAGACAGTGACAACCGCAAAGGCCTGCAGATACTGCATCCCTACCAAGCGCCCATAAGCAGATAATCAATATACATGCGCTCCATGATGTAAGGCCAGTAGATCAATGAACACTATACAACGAAATCTAAACTTGGACTTCATAACATGCTACTCAAAAAAAAACCCTCCCAACCCTAAGCCCTAAATCCCCGAACCAAAGATCCTGAACCCCCGTATCCCGCCATCGACGTCAGTGCCGGAAAAACCGATAAATGCTGTAAGCCAATTTAGATTTCAGGGGTTGAGAGTTACCGTAGCAAGCTCAAAACCGTAAACCAAAATTGGACCAAAGTTGGCCAAAGCCCGACACACGGCAGACTCAGCTGCGTGCCCTTTCACGGCTGTGGCCAGGTCGAATGTAAAAGCTGCCTTTGGGCAAGGTAGGGTTGTATCCAAAGTTCCATCGGGCCTCTATCAGGGTTCTACAAAGGCTCTAGGGTTTTTGCTAGGCGTCCAAATTGTTTCGGTATGTGAGTCATGTATACATGTGCATAAGTGTGTACACATAAACAGATTTTAGTACGGCAGTATGTTGGTAAGTATGTATATGTATATGCATGCACGTGTTCCTGAGCGTGTAAAGCCCCGGGTTCTACTCGGTTGTCGTGCATCCTGCCTTCGGGATGGCTGGAACGTCAAGTATGGTTTAGGGCTGAGGGTTTAAATCCTTACACCGGGAACCACCTAAACCTGGCGAACCCGCGGGGCAAGTACTATGCACCCACAGTCTCTTAGAGCGCTTGGCAAGCCTACTTGTCGGGTGTCATGGGGAACTAAAGGAAAAATCTTTTGCGTTACATAGGGATTATATAGGGACTATACTACCCGAAAAAGGTTAAAGGTTCCCTACCCTACTACTAAGCAACTTTGGTGCTGCGACTTCTGCTTTGAACCCCAAAGCCCTTAATCCGAAAGGTGGAGGGCTTTCCTGCGCGTAAAGGCTGGCGTGGAGGTGCAGTATCGGACGATATCCAACCTCCAGCTTGGGGGAAAAGGGACGAAGGGTTTCTTTTTGAGGGCTGTTAGGACGAAGGGTCTTAGGTTCTATAGGGCCCAAGGGTTCCGAAGTTTAGGGATTTCGGCGCTCTTTAGGATTCAGGGCTTTGAGGTTTAGGCTTCAAGCCTTTAAGGTTTAAGGGATGCGAGCATGGGGGTCTAATCTCTTCCTTGCAATATTTGGGTATTACAGCCGGGCATGCCTTTCGGGCCGGTCGGGGCGAGTATGGAGGGGTTGAATTGGGCCTCA